CGGCCTTCTTCTTCTTAACGAGCTCACACTCTCCGGCCGCTCAATGGCGGCCGTCAAGTCCAAAGTTTCTAAGCCCGGCCCGAATAAGACAAATTCAAGCACGGGCAGAGAGGTGTGGCTCTATTCTTTACTACTCATACTGCAGTACGGAGTTCAACCTCTGATCTCCAGACGTTTCACCAGGTTCTTGTTTTTTAATCAAATTTTTTTAATCATTTGCATTTTATTGAAGTTAGTTGTATGCAATTGTTCTTCCTCCTCTTAAATTTAATGTCCTAACTGTGCGAAGCGGTTTTATGATTCTGTAAAAATGGAATATAGTTAGTTCTTCAATTTTAATCCTTCAGTCATAAAAATCCGTGTTTAACTGTTTATTGGGTGATTGCTGCCATTTTGGACTGGATGATTGTTTTTATAGCATAGTCTTGTTTGCTCAACTATCTTGACAGATATGTCGAGTTTGTCCAGTAAAGATCTTAAACAATGATTTTGGATAGATTTTAGGACCATAAAGATTGGAGAACGAGGAATTAAGTGAAAGTTAAAGAGTTCGGCACGACATAGATGAGTTGATTGCATTGTCATCAGTGATAAAATTATAGTTTGAAGCTCTGCTTCATCAAGCCGGAGTTATTTTTGGTTGCTTCCTGGTTTGAACTTTGTGAATTATTTGAATTTATGGTTTCCATCAAGGGATCCCCTAAATCATAAAAATGAGTTTCTATTGGATGAATGGAGCCACATAATCTCCTCCTTTTGAGAAGATGAGATCTGAAGTTGGATATTCCTCAGGCCTTTTGTGAGTGGCATCGTTCGATTCCCTTAGTCAAGATTATTAGTGCTTCCAAGTTCCGAAATGAAATTTGTTGGCTGTTCTATATTCATGGTTGCTTGATGTATCTATTCAAGGTAATCTTTTATAGAATGATGGAACAAAACTTGATTATGGAACTTTGACACACGTTATGAATTTTGTCCAAGGCATTGGATATGAAAAGTCTCTTAGTTGATCATATTGGGTTTGAGTTGTTTCATAGTTAGGTGTTATGTCTTGTCATGCTTAGTGAGCTGCATGAGTGGCAGACAGTGTAAAAGCAATTCTCACCTTCATTTCTAATTTTTATTTTTATTTTCAGTTATCACCATGTCCCATTTTTCTCCAATAGTTAGACTCGTACAATTGATGAATCAGCAGAATGGAATTCTGGTTGTAAGGGCCTCACACGAGGTTTTTACTGTATTAGCAGGACTGGTTTTAACCCGAGGTGACTTATTTTTGAGCCGTTAGTTTCATGAATGATTATTGACAAACCCCCACCTAATTCGACTCCTTATCATGTCCCTGCCTAATAGCATGATATTGGAGTATTTGAAATATGCCCGAGTTGATTAGGGATCTTAGAGGCAGTGAACTAGTTCTCCTCTGAAAAGAATGTTTTATTATATCACGTTCTTTGAATTTATTACTGCAGAATAAGAGGAGCTTCAAATTTCACATCACCATCAAATAGAACATGTTCTATTTTACTTCAATACAAATAGCTTTTATTAGCAACCGCATGCCAGAATTTAGTATGTATCTTTTTGTGCATCCTCATTTTATTGAGAGTGATCCTACCTGCTTGTTTGCTTGTAAACTTCACAATACAGAATATTTAGTCCAAGTAAGAAAATAATATTTCTTCACGCTGCTGAAAAGTTGTTCACTAAGCCCCTGTTTGTCACCCTTTAAAACGAAATTCTTTAATTCTAATACTCATTTTCAACCACACATTTACACAATAAAATATTTTGCACTTAAACCCAAAACTTTTCCCTACTTTTTAATCACACATTCTCCCCAAAAAAATAACTATTGAAAACATCATTTTTTTTCTAAATAATGGCCATCGAACAGGGGCTAAGACAGGCTTTTTATATTTTCTTCTCCCTGCAGTCGAGAAGTAATCGTGACTTCATTGGTTTTGGCGTGTGAGATGACAAAGGTAATTCTTTATTTACTTCCTTCTTGACCTGTTTTGTATTTGTGATAAACATGAATAGTAGCTTACATATACATTCATTTGCATAACAGGTCATTTGTGCCCTCCTCCTCATGGCAAAAGATGGTACTTTGAAAAAGCTGTTCAAAGAGTGGACTTTGATTGGCTCTTTGACTGCATCAGGGCTGCCAGCAGCCATCTATGCACTGCAAAACAGCTTGTTGCAGATTGCATATAGAAATCTTGATTCACTCACATTTTCGATGCTGAACCAGACAAAAATAATTTTCACAGCTTTGTTTACTTATATAATATTAAGGTACCTACTCATTTACAAAAGTTGCACTTTTTCCAACTGGTTTATGAACTAAGTATTTGCACCATGGTAATGTGCATCCATTTGGAAGCCCCCTCACCCGGGAGGCAAGTGTGTAGGTTTGTTCTTCGAAATGGCTTAGTTTTCATTGAGGCTGTCAAGGGGCATCGTAAGTCTTGGAATTATGGTTGCTGTGGCAATTAGAAGCCATTCAAACTAAATTTTTCAACCTCTAGAATGTTCTTTTCCTCTTCAAATGGATTTTTTTTTTTAAATACGGACTGAATTTCCCAGGCTTTCTTGTGAGACTGACTCAGTTAATAAACTGACACTGTGGAACTTTTTGTGTTGAATTTATGTGCCTAGAATTTCTGAAGCCTTCTTGTCTTTCTTCTCTTGGTTCCATTTACAGGCAGAAGCAGTCAATTCAACAAGACGGGGCACTTTTATTATTAATAATTGCTGCCATCCTTCTAAGCATTGGTGAAGGTTCCA